GACAGCAATTTGTACCAGAACAGGTGTCAAAAGTGACACAGACAGCACAACTGCCAGCAAAAAAAAAAAGCGCGGTACCCGCTGCCGTGGCAGTCAGATTGAGGTGTGTCATATCCCTTAGCACGTTTCTTTTTTTTTTCGCCATTTTGTTTCGGTGATAATTGAAAATTATTTTCCCGTGGTACTCGTTCCGGTGAGCGTTCTGGTTTGTATAACGGTGCTGATTCCAATTTTGTGTACGAACAAGTTCGAGTTTGCTGATTTGTTGTCCACGGTAAATGAATGTCGGAAGCTACCACTACCGGAAGAAACCGCCAAATAAGAATTGAATCACCATTTTGAACCATGGATGCTGAATAGATGCGCGTACTTACCAAATCTCCCGGATATCGGCCTATTAAGCACAACCCGCACTTAGTCTTTCCTAATATAGCGCAGTTTTGCACCAAACGGAATGTTATTATTACTGATGGCTTCCAAATTTATTTACCTTTCCGTATGTACCGTAAGATTTGATAATAACAAACCAATCGTTGAGATATTGTCAAAAGTCTAGCACTTGACGAAAAACTTGCCTACGGATTGTGTGATGTGCTTGAACTAAAGCCCTACAGTAAAAGTATGGACGTCTGTCAAAAGTTTTTCAATCGCACCGCTTTGCGCGATTGGAATAGCTTTTTTTCAGTTTTGTGGTGACAGTCGTCCATACTTTAACTAAAGGGCTTAAGCTTGAACGCATTCATACTTTGTTCAGAATCCATAAACCGAACCGAAAGAAGACAGTTGTACTAACGCATTGAAACGCCAATGAATTCACTTCGGCCTTTCGGATGAAGATAAAAATTGATTCGGTCGGAGTGCTTCTTTTGTTTTTGAAATAATGGATACAAATCTTTATATCATGCGTTCTCATTGACTTCGTTTCGTAGCTTATTAACTAAAGTATCATACCAAACTCATAATTGACTTGTTAACTCTGAAAGCATGGATTTATTTGAAGTTTTCTGCTCGATAGGCCCACAACGGGCGATTAGGCCGAAGTAGTTCTCTACCCTACGTCTCTAATTTCTATACTGGGGGGTAATATTAAAAAAAAATCAGACATGTAACGAAAAATCCCAAACACGGACGCAACGATAGAGCGCAAATCGAACAAACGACACATTGCGCATGCTTACATGAACGAGCTCAATGCTCGGTTGATCACTCATCATTTCACCAATGAAAGGAAGGGAGGAGAAAGCAGCGGATAAGCGTCGGACACGACGTATGAGTGGAATAGCACGCATCGCACCAATACGAAGACGGACCACGACGAAAGCACCCACATCGGCCGTACTAAAGGCTTCCCGCAATAGGCAGCATGATTAGACCGCCGTCATCCGGTCGGCATCGACTTGTACTGGTGTGGCCACCATTTGAAAAACAACCGGCCCTTTTTAGGGCCACCAATTCAAAAACGGAAAGAGTTAAAAACTTAATGATCAACATATTTGTTCCGTTCACTAGCGGTCCTACGTCAAGCTTCCGTTCGTGCCTCACACCCTTCTACTTTTATACGTCTATTGACCTCCACGGTATACACGGAGCTATTAAAATACGGTGGTGAAGCACTGGCTAAAGCGCTGCACTAGGTAATTGCCAAGATTTGGGAGGAGGAGATATTACCGGAGGAGTGGATGGAAGGTGTAGTATGCCCAATCTACAAAAAGGGCGACAAGTTGGATTGCTGCAACTACCGCGCGATCACACACTGAGCGCCGCCTACAAGGTACTCTCCCAAATTCTATGCCGCTGGCTGTCACCATTTGCAAGAGAGTTCGTGGGGCAGTACCAGGCGGGATTCATGGGTGCCCGTGCTACCACGGACCAAATTTTCGCGATTCGGCAGGTTCTGCAGAAATTCCGCGAATACAACGTGCACACACATCATTTGTTCATCGATTTCAAATCCGCATACGACACAATCGATCGAGATCAGCTATGGCAGATTATGCACGAGTACGGATTTCCGGATAAACTGACGCGATTGGTCAAGGCGACGATGGATCGAGTGATGTGCGTTGTTCGAGTATCGGGGACACTCTCGAGTCCCTTTGAATCTCGAAGGGGGTTGCGGTAAGGTAATGGACTTTCGTGTCTGCTATTCAACATCGCGTTAGAAGGTGTGATCAGAAGAGCTGGGATAGACACGAGTGTCATGATCTTCAGGGAGTCCATCCAGCTTCTTGGCTTCGCCGATGACATTGACATCATGGCACTGAACTTTGAGACGATTGCGGAAACGTACATCAGACTGAAGGCTGAAGCTAGGCGGATTGGACTTGCCATCAACGCATCAAAGACAAAATACATGAGAGGAAGAGGTTCTAGGGAATACAATGTTAGCCTCCCACCCCGAGTTCAGATTGACGGTGACGAAATCGAGGTGGTCGATGAGTTCGTGTATTTGGGCTCACTGGTGACCGTCGAAAATGAGAAGGATCTGGCAGCTCTGCCCGTATGAAGTAGGAAAATAAATCAGTGAATTTTAAAACTAGTTTTTCATGGTGAAATTGTTGAGGAAAAATCAGTGGAAGGGTTCAAAATTGATCCCATGTTACGGAAGAGTTGTGTGAAGTAATTATTTAGGCTTGGTCTAATGGTAGCAGTGGAGGTTGGACTGAAAGTGAAAACGAATAAGTGGTTCGAGCAAAATGCCTTAGTCTGATTGGCAACGGCAACGGTAAACACGGATAATTGGATGGCCAAGGACACCCAGCAACTCACCAACAGGATCAAAAACTGCATTCGTAAAATCGATATGGCAGCCGTCCAACGGTCATGTTCTTATATCACGGACCGTATGCTAATGATTTTCACTAAGCTTCACTGTTTTTTTAAACTAAACAATGTATTTCAATTTTTATAATAGTTTTGGATGTCCACAGTTAAATTGCATCACTTAGAAGTACTTGCCAAAAATAAGTCTCTCAACCGAGGGGGGTGACTATCTAATATGCAGGACAAATTACGCTTGGCTGTTGTGAGATGCGCGACAGATAGAAAAAAAGATTGATGAAGATTTTGAAGATTTCCTGCAGAGGGTTGGAGAGCGACGCGAATAGGTGGATTTAGATGCAAGAGATGCAAAAAGATTTCTCGTAGATTATGATTCGCTACCGTGTGATTTACCGACTATGTAAAATTTAGATTGTCATGAAATTTTCAGGGACTCTAATACTGTACTATATATGAGCTTTGTTACGTGGTGGTCAGAGTATTATCAGAGATTCCCCGGAAATTAATCACAGTCTCTTCCAACTTCCTCTAAAAATTTCGGTCACCTTGACCCGGAAGTTCCCGCTGATTAGGGGGAAGAGATTTCTTTCGCCTTCTCCGGAAAGGTTAATCTGAATTCCCCCGGAATTTTCATCCGACTATCTTCGGAATTTTCTTCTAGCTTGTCCCTCGGGATGTGTCTTTTACATTCCCCGAATTTGTTGTACCTATTTTCCTCGGAAGTTCCTGATTTCTTCTTGAAGACACTTTAGACAACTTATACCGGCTCCTCTAGATTTAATATCCCCAAGTGAATCGGAAACGTAAATTTTCTGGGTGTTAGTTTTAGTCTATTTTTGATGAAAATATATGTTTAGTAAATTGGTTCAATCCATTAAGAGGCGAACCGTTATAATAATAATATTGGTTATCTGTTAACATCTTGCGAAAAGGCAAAGGATGAGATGTCGTTTTTGCAAATTCTGTGTACATTGGCTTCTTTACACAATAAAAACGGTTTTCCTATGAATTCGAACCAGTTCCCAGAGAATCGCTTTCCCGAGATGACCAGTATATGTATCACAATGCTGCTTGTGCAGCAGGGCAAAGGATACGCACTTCAAATTCATTCATTAATTTTCAACCGAATCGAATTCTATTCGTCTAATCGTCTTTAAAAATCATTGCTCCAGAGAATGCTGCTCAGTTAAATAAGTATCGTACCGTAAGTGGGGGTGACATTAGGCCAAAAAATCAAAATTTGTCGTCCCTACCTTACAACATTCACATTATAGCAAGGAAAACAATTTCAAGCATATGCATCAATGATATAATTTTCGACTGTCATGGAAATGGTTGATTTTACTAAAATTAAATTAGAATAGACCAAAACTATAAATTTAGTTAAAATATGTAAATGTAACGTAGCTATTAGGGTACACTTGGTTATGATCACAATTTACTTCGTATGTTTGGCTAAAGATTGCGTGTCAATCCAATATAAAAGTATACTTCAAACTTTCGTTTGCCTGAGGACATTTTTAAAAACGTGTCTTTGCTACTATTTATGGCACTTAACTTTATAGCACTATTTTTTTTATAAAACAACTAGTTAATGTTATCTACTCTTTCTTCCTGGAGATCAAGAAACACATTCTAGTCATTATTTTCTGTATATTCAAGATATTTACATCAATACCCATTATTAAATTTTGGCCGAATGTCACCCCGTCTTACGTCGACATAAATGATGCCGGGGTTTAGTGATAATCGCGGAAAGGTGAGAAGTAATATTGCATAATTTTTAGTTCCTAAATCTAAAAAAAAAAAAAAAAATCGGTCAGATTTATTATATTTATTCGGAATATTGAGAATTTAAAGAAAAAGTAGCACCGCGATTGTCAAATAATCTGACGCTATTTTTTCTCTGAACTGACCAAATTGCCTACATTTAGGCGCATTTATACGCAGAGTGCTCACGGAATTGTTAGCCAGTTTATTGTTGTTGTATATTTTTATTTAAATGTATAAACTTGTTCAAAAGATTTGTTTTCAGCTTACTGGGTAGGTTTGCACTATGGATTGAACTTATTATTACTAACCTATACCGTAAAATATAGCAGAAGTAATTGAGGAAAAAAATTGAATTAGCTTTTTATGATTTCTGTAAAAGGAGGACAATATTTTGACTAAAAAAAATCTTTGTTTTGTTAAGAAGTTAAAATCGAACTCAATCATAATCTTCCATGATCGCGTACTAATAGGTTAATGCTTTAATCGATATTAAATTGCTAGTTTAAAAAAATTAACTATTTCCTCACACGAGAAAGTCGTTGGTCCCTTAAACTAGAGTGTCAAATTGATATAAAAGTACTGAAAGGTGGAATTTCCTTTAAATGCATCTCACATCAATACAAGTTGTCGTTTGAACTAGTTTCTAAGCATGCAGATTCAGCTTCTCGAAGCCGTTGACAACATTTTCCGAAATCGACAGGAAATCCAGCATATCCCGTTGCGTGATGATCCCGACGACGGTTTCCCTCAGTTCGAAGTTGTCTCCGTCGGTGACTGCAATTTGAAGAAGATAAATATCAAAAGAAGATAGTTCATCATTCGAAAAATCTTACATTTCTTCTCCTTCTGCACGACCAACACGAACGGATCCTGTTCGAGAATCCGAGAAACATGACCCAGACAGTCGGTACGCTCGACTTGGACAAACTTCTTGAAGACCGCACGTGCCACAGGATCGCTTGGCTTGGCCAGTCGGTTTAGCAGTTTACCCATCAAGTTCGGCAGATGAACCATGCCCTTGATAGATCCGTCGTTATCGATTACCGGCAGCTGATTGATCGAGTTGGTTTTCATAATGTTCATGACCTCCTGCAGGCACACGTCCACTCCCACGGTCATCGGAATCGACAGATTGAGCGTGGAGATGCTGTTGTTCCACCATCTGCGGAAGAAATCGTTAGAGTAAGGTTTAATTTTAGAACTTCAAAAGTAGCATACTTGTGGTTGTGGACATTCACGGATTCCTTGAAGTTACGAGCCTCCATCCAGCTGTCCGAAACGAACTTTGTCAGGTAGTTGCGGATGTTGTCCGGCAGAATAACCACGCAATTTTGGCCTTCCTTCAATTCCTTGGCAGCTTCCAGGGCCACGATTACGTTTGCGCCGCTGCTACCTCCGCAGAGCAATCCTTCCTCAGCAATCAAACGCCTAGCCATAGGTAGGGCGGCCTTGTCGTTAAACTTGTACCAACGATCTACCACACTGCGATCCAAAACCGTCGGGATGAAGTCGTATCCCACACCTTCCACCTCGTAGAAGTTGACGTCGGTCTTGTTCAGCTCTTCCGGTTCTGCAAGGATCGATCCTTCCGGATCGCCTCCTACGACGACGCAGTCCGGAACAGTTTCCTTGATCTTTCTTCCGATACCGCAAACGGTACCTCCTGTTCCGGCTCCTACGACCACCATGTCGATTTTGCCTTCCAACTGATCCACGATCTCCGATCCCGTTCCGTCGTAATGGGCCAATGGGTTGCCCGCATTGGTGTACTGATTCAGCACGATCGAGTTTGGAATCTCTCGTTGGAACTTCTGGGCGACGGCGATTAGCCCTTCCTGTGAATCGAACGATGCTTCCGTGGGAGTACGCACCACCTTGGCACCTAGGGCCTTCAACGTATCGACCTTCTCGTTGGACATCTTCTCCGGCATGACGATGAGGCATTTGTAATCCTTGACTGCGGCACCCAGGGCCAGACCGATACCGGTGTTGCCCGAGGTGGGCTCAATGATCGTATAGCCCGGCTTGAGGAGACCCTTGCGTTCGGCTTCCTCAATCATACGCAAACCGATGCGGTCCTTGACCGAACCGCCAGCATTCAGGAATTCACATTTCCCGTCTGCAAGAGTAAAAACAAATTCATTGACAAAAAATCCCGATAAGATCACTGATCGGAAACTTACACAAATTACACTTCAGGTTCGCTGCCTTCGCAATCTTGCTCAGTTTAACCAGGGGTGTATTTCCAACCGCTTCCAGGATGGTTTGCATTGTCTTGGGACGTTGAATCCTGTGGAAAGGAATTTCGAAAAAAGTGAAATCGATTTATTATCATTTTTTTCGTTAAGATTAACCGTATCTCAACGCACACGCCCCTCCTATCGATAACCATAGGTCAAGGTCCCCGTTCATTCATACATTCATATAAGTCGGTCACTACTTGGCTGCAAGCAGCCGGTCTGTCATTGTCGTCATCTGCGCGCCGCGTCCCATTGCACCAATCACAGGCACAGAAATTGCGCCCGTGTTCGCGTGTGGTCATTAACGAGCGCCTGCTATTCGGCTCGCTCGTGTGCTGAGCCGAAGAGGAAGGAAGCGTTCAGCAAAACCATTCAGCTTTTTTTTCTTCAATCTGTCAAATTTCGGCAGCGGCGCGTTGTTGATAAGGGGTGGTTTGGTTTTCCTGTTTTGCGTCTTTTAGTGATGATAAGGTTCGGTAATGTTGGTGATTAGGAACTGCGCGGAAAGGAAGGGCAACATTCGACAGCTTTAATGAAAAATGTGGTTTTGCGTTAGGTTATCAAATCGGTTTCATATTATCAGACTAGTTGCGGAGTCAGAGATTGATTGCGCTCTCCATGTTGGTGTTAACAATTAACGTAGCTGTGTGGAATGTTAGGTTCGATGAACTATTTTCAGTCAAAGTCATATCACCCGGTTAGTGCGTTGTTCGTTTCGAGTAAAACTTGTTTACATTTTATTGGAACGTCATATTTTGGCTAGTTGCCACACGGGGTTATCAATGAATTACGTTTTTACAAACCATTGTTTCACATGCTTGAACGTGTTCAAAAACTCGGAACTAGTTAGAAAGAGGACAGATTTTTGTTCTATTTACGGTGCACGAGAAAATCAGATGAAGGGGATAGGGATAGAAACCGTGTCTAATAATAACCGTAAACAAAATGAGTTTATCTACAGCTGTGGTGGGGGATGTGATTTTTCACATTGTATGTTAGTCAGATGATTTTTTTTTGTACAGTGAATGTTTGATTTTAGATCCGGTTAATTTTATTTTATTTTATTTTCTATTTATTTTAGGTAGGCAGCCCATACTAATGGAAACGAATTGGTGACCGAGCGGCAGTAGTACATAAATCCTACGGCTTTGTTATTGAATTTTCATTAGTTCCGTGACAAGTTTTATTATTTATTTAGCAACATATTTAATAGAAATACCGTATAAACGAGTCGTGCCGCAGAGCTGATCCCAGAAAAAAGGTAAGTACTTTGATGCAAAGGTGGCAAGCTTTAAGAACATTAGCAATGAAGATCAATTTGGCTGCCATTTGTAATAGCGAATAGAGACAGAGTTTCATGCTTTTATACTTCAGCGGATTTTAAAATTTCTTTGATAGTAGCCCACATTGAAAAAACTGGTAGCTTTCAATATACATATTGTAAGAACTTAAAATCGCTTAAGTGGCCTATGGGCAATAAAATTTTTAGCTGGGCGAAGTGGTGTGAAATTAAAGATCACTTATTTGACTTTTTCCCAACTACCAAGCTATTAGCTGTCAGTTTATTAGCTGATTATAAGCTATTGGATAGTTGAAAATACGCTATCGATGTTTATGTTACTCAGTATGAGTTATTGGTTGACTGAAAGCCATTCAATTAGTATTTAGATCATTTGTACACGCTACGAAAAATACTTGCATTTTTTGGTGCTTTAAGACCAACACATGCAAGCGTCACAATGGATTTAAAGCTTAGTCAGAAAGGACGAGAAATTCAATTCAATCTAATGTGCATCTCATAGAGTTGTGTATTTTTGGGTATCGAAACACTTATTGTTACATGCATGCATGTTTACGTTTCATCATTCACCCCAAATAATAATTCAAGCTGAACAGTTAGAACAGAAGCTGATTATTGGTTGATTTAAGGTGTAAGGTGCTGATTAACACCAGGCTCAATATATAGTTAGTTGATCAGTAGTGAATAAAGCGAATTGTATCCCCATAATTCAACCTCAATAAGTTAGCTGACCTAAAGACTGAACAAGACTTATTTAAGCCTAACGCTACTCCACAAACTTCAGTCGGTAAAGGCACAGCTACAAAGCAAGACCATGCTGGAGGTGGCTGGGTTCGATTCCCGGTATGGTCTAGGAATTTTTTGGGTTTTCCCTGGGCATAGAAGTATGATTGGACTTGCCACACAATTATACCAATGCAAAAATGGTACAGGCATCGAAAGCTCTCAATTAATAACTGTGGAAGTGCATCTAGAACACTAAGTTGAGAGCACGCAAAAAGCTAATATGCCATACGCAATAAGCTTGAAATGCGAGGAAGAAGAAGAAGCTACTCCACATCTGCAATGCGCTACATATATTTTGATACTTTTTTTTTCTTGATTTGTTTTTCGTCGATCTTGTTTTCCGTCTTGAATATCAATGCTACCGACGCAAGGGAGGCAGCTCCCACACCTGGACCCTACATATCGACCCATCAACGAATGGACCGGGAACCAACGGTTTTAAGATGTGATCAGAGATTTAATGCCTCAGAAAATCCCGGCGACGTCGACTGGGATTGAATCCAAGCTTTTTGGGGTGAGAGGCAATCACGCTTACACCACCTGCGCTGCTATATAATTTGAATCTATTGCACAATATTGTTGAAATTCATCAGTATCACGCGTTTCATTTCCGGCATTTTAGCTCTGCAAACTGCATTTCCTTCCTTTCTAATCCTATTAGAATATTAAGCCATGACTCCTATCGATAAAATAAATTTCTTCAATCTGTTATTGAACGTCAAACGAACAAGTCGTATTCTCAATAAATCATTACAACAGGTTATGGATCTATTCACCACTGAAAATTGAAGCTCTGACGGTTCGAAATGACCACCAGCAATTTAAGTAGAAGTCAGAATTCGGAAGCTCACGGGTTTTCAAGTCTTCCCGGGTCAGGGCTGGCAAATGTCATTTTCAATGAAAGATCTCAAGCAATATTTACAGAGATACTTCTGTCACTATCATCAGATGAGAAAACGATGATAGAGATTTATTTCAAAATCTCATCGTTTTTTTTTTTTGTAATGACGGAACGTGACAGTGTTGTTAACATCGCAATTACTAGCTCATTTCTTGATATTATTGTTACTTGTACCGCGGAAATCTTAAAAATATATTCACTCTACCGATTACATACTGTTACTTGCCTAAATTCATCTAAATCAGTAAGAAATGTTGATGTCGAAGCCGTATGACAATATTTCTCATGAATGTTAGATCATTGGAAAATGATAATAAATCTCATGATAGGTAGTTTTGTCTCGTGATAGTGAGGGAACCTGTTTTCTCATTTTCACATGAAGGCCGTGATATTTACCAGCTCTGTCCCGGGTTCGAACGACTGTACGGACGGTTGAATTGGGTGACATGAAAGTTTGCCGTCACAACTTACCTCGAGCTTGAAGATCTTTGGGAGGCCGTCAAACCCGATAGGAGAGCGGACGGAACTTTCGAGGGAGTCAACGCCACGAAAAACCGAAAAGCAAGAGCGAAGACAATTTTGTTGCTGGATTCAACGAACTATGTTCATGTGGAGGAAGCGACAACTGCGAAGGAAGTCTGGGACCCCCTGGAGAAAGCGTTTGAAGATTCCAGACTCACTAGGCGAGTAGTACTTCTGCGGAATAGGCGAGTAGTACTTCTGTGGAAACTGGTGAAGACTGACCTTGCAAGCTGTTCGCCGATGTCGGACGTGAATCAAGTTATTTCGACGGCTCATCAGTTAAACGGAGTTGGATTCAAGATTTCGGGGGAATGGATTCGCGCGTTCCTGCTATGTGATCTACCAAAGGAGTACAGACCAATGATTTTGGCTCTGGAAAACTCCGGAACACCGGTAACAGAGGATGCCATCAAGACTACTGCCAAAAGGGAAGCGTGGAGAATTCAACAGGCAGACAACGTTCAACCAACCCAATACGGAATCAAAAGGTCCGAAGTGCAGGAAGTGTAAGAAATACGACCACATCGCAAAAGACTATAGAAGTTCGAAGGAAGAAGTTTTTTGCACCGGATTGTCGTCGATTGAGTCGAACGGCAGCACCGATTGGTTTTTCGACTCCGGAGCAACAGTCCACATGACTCACAACAAGACGTTGTTGAAGGATCTGAAGCCATCGAGTGTTAATGCTGTTGTGGTCGACAAGGGAGAAATGAGCATTGAATCTATCGGAAAAAAACCGTTTTAAGGCCACATTGTCGGAAAAGCAGTTCTGGGCATCAAGTCAACGAGGTACGATATTTTATATTATATTCCCCAGTTATCAGTGAATCTCCTTTCCGTCAACAGGATTGTGAAGAACGGATACACTATGGTTTTTGCAAACGAAGGTTGTAGCACAAACGAAGTGACAGATGACTAACTGGCGAAGAAATCAATTAAAATAATGTGGTTCGCTGTAATAGAATTTTCTTAGATGCTTGTGCCATCATCCACCAGATGGGATAGTATTTTTGTTTTGGTTTTGGACAAAGTTGATTTTGTGTACAATGGTTCTTTGACAGTGTGCAAAGAGTGTATCATTTTGTCATTTTTTTTTATGCATCTCAGTTTTGAGTGGAGTGAAAGAGATAGAACCAAAACATTCTAGTACATTTGGTGAAAATGCTACTTCAATCCAGTAGTAATGTTGCCATGTGGTACAATCCAGCAATAGTGGTGCTGCCATGTGGTACACTGAAAAATTGCAATAGCAGGTGAGTCACCAAAGTTTTCGAGCCGCTCCGTCTGTCACTTCGTTTGTGGTTGTAGAGTGCTGAATGTAGTGGCAACAGCTAGCCACATGAATGATTTGTTTAGGCTGGACTAGAGAGGGTCTAGTATAAGAGCGGAGCGGATTCAAAACAAACTGCTTTGGCAACATATGCCTAGATGATTTCTTACAACACTGCCAATGCAATCAAGATAGGCGCTGCTCGATTGGCTCTGACTTTGACAGTTCGTTTGGCTCAAAACCATCCAGTCCGCTCCTCTCTTATATTAGACCATCTCTAGGCTGGACCAGCACGATAACCCAAATAATAGAACTATTCCACAAATGGTTTCGATGATACCCCGAACACATCGTTAAGCAAAGTAACCATAACAATTTTATTAGGGATGCTCATCAGCTGTGTCCCTGGATATCTGACATCGACGAATGGGCCATCTGAATTCGGCGGAATTAAAGAAGCTGGCGGATATGCTGGTTGATGGCATGGAACTGAGTGAAAAGACGGATAGCGATTGCAGCGTATATGCGATGGCAAAACACAGTCGGCAAACATTCAGCATTAAGGGTTCCCGTGTCTCTGAAGTGTTGGAGGTCGTACACTCGGAAATCTGTGGTCCGATGGAAGTAAAGTCGTTAGGAGTAAGCATATATTATATAGTATTTGTAGATGACAAGTCAAGATGGATGTTTATCTATTTTCTGCTATCAAAGTCGGAAGACGAAGTTCTGGATTCATTCAGAAACTTTCATGTGATGGCAGAGCGACAGACTAGATAGAAGGTCAAAATCATCCGAACCGACAACGGGTTGTAATATACAAACCAGAAGGTTTCGGAATACATTGCAAAGTTTGGAATCCGGCATCGGCACTTCGGAACAAAATGGACAGACTGAGAGGGCGAATCGATTGATAGTGTGAGGTTTATGCTTTTTGAAGTGAGCCTTGACAAACATTTTTGGGTACAAGCTGTGTCAATGGCGGTGTACCTCCTGAATCGTTCACTGACGTGAAGACATGATGTCACATCTGAAGAGTTCTGGACCATAATTTGTAGTACACACTTAGAAATACATAATTTTACACGTGACGGAATCCATCTTTGACATACAGGATGAGACGTAAACAAACATGTCATGTAAGATTAAGTGCTCCGAGACTGAAAAGTTCGGTACTCGACGAAAAGTACGTTTGATTGAGCTGAATTTTGCGTCTATTATGACTCAATTGTATGTCAAAATTGACGCTCGTATAAATCAGTCTCAGAGTATCTATATTTACATGAATTTTTCTAGGTGTGTACGTTATAATCTTCCGAACCAGAATGTCGCAAATGGAATGTAAAATCAGAAGCATGCATTTTGCTAGCATTGGATGAAGATACCAAGAGTTATCGTTTGTTTGATCTGAAAACCAGATTGTCAAGAGTCGGGATGCTTTATTCATCAACGAAGGGACAATTGGATGTCGTGAATTGAAAGCTGATCGAGGAGGTGGTCGCACGGTGATCAGACTAGATGTTGAACAGACTGTGTCACTATTGTCAGAGGTTACGGAAAAAACGAGTGCAGCGGCTGTACCAATTATTCCCGAGAGTGACTTCGAAGACGATGATTATGAAGAAGCGTGTCATTATTCAATAGTTAAGCTTTTAATACAAGAGCTACTTATTAGTTGCGGCCCCGACAGTTGGGTCACGACCCAATTAAAAAGCAACTGGATGTCAAAATTCCATGTAAATCAAACATGAACTCTTCCGAGGGATGGGCAAATGCGTTTGCCACTGCGCATAATGTGTAATGATTGTAATTCTTTGATAGGTACTCATAATATTTTAGTTTTACTCGCAATTCGTCAAGAACAGCTTGCTTCATTCAGTTTCAATAAACTTTCCACAACAAACAATGCACTCACCTCTCAAAAAATTTTAACCTCGACCCCAATAATGAATCGATTTCGTTAGTTGAGTCGAGCTGGTGGCCCAACCATCGAATTTCGACTGTAGATGGTTTTAACTATTGTGAGAAACTTTGCTGAAGACACCTAGTCACGGATATGCTTGATTTCTGAGTTATTAATTTTGTCCCGCTAGATTGCACTCCTGGCCCATCGAACGAAACTGAGTAATCGGAATTCAAGTTGAAGATATTTTGAGTTGTAAGAGTTACGTCTGTTTTTCTATGGGTTCCTGATTCATCGTAAAGGATACAACCGAAGAAAACAAATCATAGACCGTAAATGCATAAAGAATGAGTTTTGTAAGAGCGATAGGCATAGGTCGTAAGACAACCTTGGAGTAGGTAAAATGTTCAAGAATGTTTTGAAAAAAGTTACAATTTACTCTATAATCAATCACTTAGCTGATCTATACATTTTGTCCGATGAGCAAATCCAGTGTTCCGGAATAAACGAGTACATACTGTTAATGCTGAAATTCCTAAACAAAAGAAGCAACAAACAAAAACAAATTTTATCAGTTGATAAACTGATTTCGTTGGTATGATATGGAAGTGTGTTTTTAATCTTTCTTATCCGAATGTTTCCATTTTATACTGTCACATTGAACCATTAGGTTTTTTGTTAATGGTTTAGATGTTTTACACAGCAAAAAAGTTGTTAAATATTACAACGCACCAGTTGCACAGAGGTCGTTCCTTTGGTTGCGTAATGTGTTATGCGATGTGTACATTCATGAATTGAATACTGTACAATTTTTTTTCGATTAGATAAACATTTGTTGGGCAATATTACAACCTGGGCAATGAAAAAAATCTCAAAATATTATTTTGATTGAAAGTTTGTTCGAGCATTTTAATCAGCTCGAATGAAGTGATTAACTGTTTACTGCTGAATCTATCCCTGAGACTAACCTGTAGCATAGCTCAAGGTCACTAATTTTTTTTTAGAAGTTCATCGTAAAATTACGTTGTAGATAATTGAGTATGGATTTGTTGTAAACAAGGTTCTGTGCTAATATTGAAAACGAGCAACATATTGTTTCCACTGTGCACAAACCAATACGGCTTTGGTTGCATTTTTTGATGATTTCTGATCGAAAATACTGTTCATATCAGCTCGAGTAAGCGAATTTTGAGTACGCTTTCAATTATACACCATCCTGCAACCAGTGGCGTCTCGTAACCTCACTTCTTACCGGACGTTTTCAACAGTTTTGAGTCATAAACATATTCAAATCGGTTCCAAAATGAATAGGGTCTTCTAGGTTCACTAATGTGTATCGATTTAAAGTAGTAACATTTTATTTGTTTTTGTTTTGAGAGACGTTGAACAGGTTGATTCGGGCGACGTCGCTTCCTGCAACGTGTTCAAGTTCATCGTTCACTGAAAAATCCGCCTACGTTAGATAAAATTGATACCACCAATAAATCGATGCCTCAGTGTAAACCCAACACAGTCGCATCTTCCGTTCCCCCATCTCACGCTGACGACTGATACTTACAGCGGTTTGTGGTGGTGTGGGCTCGTTTCGGCAGTTCCAACAGCCCAAGTGCACCGGGAAGGCAGATCAGGTCGCTTGAAGTGAGCGAGAAATTCCTCGCGGCTTTCGACTCCATTGCTGTGCCCGTTGGACATTGGGCAAACTCGATGGTTGGTGGTGGACATCTTTCAATCACTCAAATACACGTGGAGGACAATGATATAAAGCTTACTAAAGAGTTGTTACTCATTAACCGAAACGCCACACATAGGATAGCTATTACGCTCAAATGTACTCTCGTGCGATAGAGTAAATGAACCGGTGCGAACGGCAAGCCAAATTCGACTGAACCCTCATCAGCTAGAACCAATCAATTTAAATTGAAAGAGTACGGCGTGGTTTGCTCCCGTTCTTATGCTCTTAAACCGCAACCCAACGAGACGCTCAAATGCAGCTCAGCTCGCAGAGAAGGCGATGCGAGTTGATAAGAATTAAGCAATCCGACATGGGAATGGGAAAGCTTGAGGTTGAAAATGAAAATAATAACTCAGGAAGCAGACATTTCAGCAATAGCAGAAGCATCAGCTTATGGTTTTACCACATATACAATAAAAAAAATCTGCTCCTAAGCAGTGACTTCTTATCGTAATGACGTTGTGGTTTCGGCAGTCTCTGCATATTTTGAGGAGAGTTTGTTTGGAAGGAGTGATTGTGGTTTGGGAGCTCTCGCTCCCGCTCTTTATTTACTGGTTTGTTGCGCATGTGCTCTCTGAGTGATTATTGTGTGACCCATTCAGGGCCGCATTTTGTAGAATTTAATAGGGGGTGCGACGACACTTCCAAATGCTCAAAACATCTCATGCTAGCAAATTAAATTTTCCGCATCTACTTGCACCACACTTCATCTTTTTGAAGGAAATATTTCTAATCTTCATTAATCTTGTATATTTCAACACAGCGTGTGCGTAGCTCAGCGCAGTAAAGCAACATTTTTTCTGCATTGAAGGGAGAGTTATTCCCCTCGGAATTTAACGTATTCCTCTAGGAAACAGATGGATTTTGAAAAGATTCGATTGGACATAGATCTTCGCTGACAAACGTAGGTGTTTAACATGTGCAAACACATTAACAAAAGTTAGTAGAATTGTACAAAAATTCATAACCATATGAAATATATTTTTTAACAAAACTATTCTCACTATGGCTTAAGGATCTATGAAATACAACTTAAGTGATAACATCCCCTTTAAATATGCTCTAACCTAAGTGCGACGGCTGCCTGCCTAGAATCTATAATCAGTGTTTATTTTGAATCACCTTATAAATTTAACAGAGTTTAATGAGGGGCTCGTGGATTTTCGAGGTGTGCTTTAAATATCTTGAAACAGAAGGTCTGGTACTTCCTGAGTCGAAAGATTGAGTATGTTTCTTCGGGACACCCTGGTCTTACTGTTAGTCTCCCGCATAAACGCGAACCATAAATTGACCTTACCTAAAATGGTTAAAAATTGTTTATAATCCCTGCTAAATTTTAACTGAAATGGTTATGGAACTTTACATGAACGTTTAATGATAAAGTTTAAACCTTATGTATTATGGTTTTTTGGAACTGGACCTTACAAATAATGGGTTGTTAAGAACCATTACCATTCCAAATTCTTGTTTTCTCCATACATTTTCAGAAAGAGAACTATATAAGAACGTTTTTACTTATGATTTGAGAACATTAATGGTAATGGTTATGGTAGTCAGTAAGGTCCATTAATGGTTTTGTATTATCGCTCAACTTTACGTGGAATATATCGTGAATTGGTAATCAGTAAATTACAGGCAACCAATTCGCGATATATTCCACATAAAGTTGATCGATGTTACAAAACCATTCGTGGACCTTACTGACTACCATAACCATTACCATTAAAGTTCTCAAACCATAAGTTAAAAGGTTCTAATATAGTTCTCTTTCCGAAAATGTATGGAGAAAACAAGAATTTGGAACGGTAATGGTTCTTAACAACCCATTATTTGTAAGGTCCAGTTCCAAAAAACCATAATACATAAGGTTGAAACTTTATCATTAAACGTTCATGTAAAGTTCCATAACCATTTCAGTTAAAATTTAGCAGGGATTATAAACAATTTTTAACCATTTTAGGTAAGGTCAATCTATGGTTCGCGTTTTTGCGGGTTATGATACAACCAACCAGTGATGGCAAAATCATTTGCAAATTGATACTTTTCCGCTTTCATACGATCTCAATATCACGTGTGATATTGGAGCAAAATATCATGCATGAACCTATAACCCAAATGATTGAACTATTCCGCAAATGGTTTGGATTATACCCCAAACACTTCTTTTAACATATTAACCATAACATTTTTATTAGGGTTGCGAGACTATTGAAAACGTGTAAAGTTAAAACTGAGAGTTGATTGTCGCAAAAATGATTCCGTTGCACCTCATTTTCTTAGAAAGAGAAGGTATAATCAAAAATCAATACTAAACTAACGATTTTAAATTGGCTCACTACTTGACTAGCCTATTGGTCCCAAGCAAATCGATTAACGTACGCCATTCTAGTCAAAATTCTAGTACTGCACAATGTTTGTTTTGATTCACTATGAAAGTTTGACCGATAAAATGAGGGGTTAGTGGATATTCCTAGAAATACTCAGAGGGAGAGATAGGCGGAGAAAACAAAATACAATTCGGCAGCAGGGATTTATTCCTACATTATCTTGCAACCCTTGCTAGAAGCTAGCATTTCAAATGACTTATTTTTGATTCGATTTACGTGTAAAATAATAATTGATTGGATTGCAATATTTTGCACATTTCTTGGTGCCATTTATTAACCAACGAAGATCAATTAATCAATAGAGTTAGAATATTGTTTTTAGTTCCAAAAACTAGTTGAATTTGAGAAGCACACAAAACATAAAGGTGATTGAATTTCTGTTCGATTGCAATACTCTCCTGCACATTCGGTTGCGGTCAATGGATGGCAATCGATGTCCGTCGGTGATTGGCACTAGATTGCGAAACAGAGACCGACGTTAAATAAAGGAAAAGAAGGAGAGGTTCGTGGATTCTCCTATGTTTCGAGGGGTGCATCGATTAGCTTGGGACCGAAGAGAGTACCAGAGCTGAGCCAAAAAGTTGAGCACGTTTCTTCGGGACTTTCTGGTCTTAGAGTTACCTCTATGCTACTACCATAGAGGTAACTCTAAGACTAGAAGGAACCGAAGAAACGTGCTCAACTTTTTGGCTCAGCTCTGGTCCTCTCTTCGGTCCCAAGCTAATCGATGCACCCCTCGAAACATAGGAAAATCCACGAACACCTCATTTTATGTTTCAAACTTTCATAGCGAATCAAAACAAGCATAGTGTGGTACTAGAATTTCGACTGGAATGGGGTACATTAAACGATTTGCTTGGGACCAATAGGCTAGTCCAGTAGTGAGCCAATTTAAAATCGTTAGTTTCCACCGGTTACTACTACTGGATTGTACTAGCATTTTCACCAAATGTACCAAAGTCTCGTTAATAAAGAAAACTAAACTAAACTTAACTAACCAAATGTACTAGAATGTTTTGGTTCTCTTTCACTATACTCAAAACTGGATTGTATAAAAAAATGACAAAAATTAAACACTCTTTGCACACTGTCAAAGATCATTGCACACAAAATAAACTTTGTTCAAATCAAAACAAAAATACTAGCCCATCTGGTGGCTTATGGCACAAGCTTCCAAGAAAATTCTTTACAGCGAACCATTTTATTTTAATTGACTTCCCTAATAAAAATAACCATAAAAGAGACCTTAACGACGTGTTCGGGGTATCATCCAAACCATTTGTGAGATAGTTTACCCATCCGGGATACAGTTTGTCAATGGTATTTGTTTATTAGGGTTCTTCGCCGGTTAGTCGTCTGCTACTTCGGTTGTGATTGTACTGTATTGCTTACCGTAACAACCAAACGTAAACAATGGCTTCAAACGCAAATTTCACGAGAATCAAAACAGCCAATCATCTGGTAGAGCAAACTACCTTTATCGAATGGCATTGTTGGTTTGCGTGAATGTGTTGTGATTCTTGAGAAATTTTGAAATATAGAGAAGAAAATACCTATGTTTACATTTGGTTGTTCCGCCTATTTCAATTGTTGGTCTAGAACTGAAACACATTTTATTAATTAATAACCCTATTAAAAATAACCATAAGAAAGAGCGTGACGACGACGGGTTCGGGGTATCATCCAAACAATTTGTGGGATAGTTCTACGTCTAGGGCATCACTAGGGCCCTAAGTTGTTGTTTCTTGGCTTGTAAACTAGCTCCGACGGAGTGACGACAGTGGACGAAGACTATTGCTAGATTAGATTTACTGCACTCTGAATAACAGGAGATTTGGAATTTAACTGATAGTTTATTTAAAAACCTTAGGTTTTTTTTATTGGCATGCAAATATGAAACAAGAGACATTGCTTTATTGCGCATAAACAAATCTAAATCTTTCGCTGTTTCGTTTCAATTTGTTTTATGGGCTTCACTTGCTTTGTTGTGATTTGCTCGATTTGCCCATCGTTTGACTTTAGCATAAAATAGACAAGACGAAAATAAAAACGCTTTAAAATGGTGAGCCGTTGCGAACCTTCCCTACAAACAATTTCAGTTGATCAACAGCTGAATAAGCCATTTTTTAGCTGAAGAAGCTTATTTTTGCCTGAATAAGCTCTTATTCAACATTAAATGTTTGTTGGGTTCCAATCTAAAAGTTGAGGTATGAGTCGGCATAATTTCACCGTGTTCAACTCCTCGACTCCGAATCGTTTACTCCGACTCCTCGACTCTGGCTCCAACTCCGACTATAAAGCCTTTTATTTAATAAATAAAACGAAAATATTTGTACGTTTTTTTCATGATCGGTATGCTTCATTAAAAAAACAACGAACAAAAATCGTTTAATCCATTGTAAAAATTAAGATTGAAGCTAACACACTAACGAATGTGGGAATCCAGTGAAATTACCATGTTAAAGTTGGTTGCCATACTTACCTTACCAATCAGGTTAAGGCCTTGTTGTCCTCTGCTGTCCGAAGAAGTCGTCTCCACTCTACTCGATCCATGGCCACACTTCGCCAGCCTCGTAGTCTGCGAAGGGTCCGCTGATCGCCTTCTACTTGGTCGATCCACCTTGCCCGCTGCGCACCTCTTCTTCTTGTTCCTGTTGGGTCGCTTTCTAGAACCATTTTCACTGGGTCGTCGTGCGGCATTCTTACGACGTGCCCAGCCGACCGTAGTCGCCCAATTTTTGCAAT